CTGCATCCCATGTCTTCCACTCCATATTCTCCTAAAAGCACTCTGCTTGGCATCTAGCACACTTGGTGAGCGCCAAATAAACATCTCTGGACAAACGACTTAGGGCCATAAAAACTCTGGCCATTTTGAAGTTCTGTCCAGTTGGCAAAGCACGTTCACTTTTTTGAAGCACTAATGTCCTCGGGGGCATCTGTGATGGGAAAGTCCTGTTCATCGTTTCACTCACTCTACAAACATTTCATTACCTACTTCTTTGTTGCAACATGATGCCAGTATTAGAGGTCTAAAGATCAATCAAACCTGATTCCTTCCCTCAAGGAGCTGCTGATCTAAAATTAATAGAAACAAAGGTGGACACAATTCAATATGGCAAGTGCTCTGCTGAGCCGTGTCCCACATGCCACAGAGCGTAGCGGAGACGGCAGTTCCCCTAGACTTCGTAGCCTGAGACAAAGGTATTTTAAGAATTCTCTCTGATCTCCGTCATTCTTTTCTCTGTGACTTCTTGATATATCTGGTACACCTACTTCTTACCATCATTCCCTCCCCTCTTCTAACCTGCTGTTTCTACTCTTTTCTGAGAATTTGGTTGAACTTGTGTCCTTTCTTTCCAGTGGTGGGTTTCCCCTCTGCTTGGCACATGACAGGCACCTGGGTATCCGTTTAATCCCTGTACTGTGTCCCATGCTCAGAGGTTCTGATCTAATGAGTCAGAGTAGGTCCCAGACTCCCAGCTGATGCTGTTTTACAGGCAAGTCTAAATCTAGGGGTTCTGACATGGCTTGAGGATGGCCCTGGTCTTCTCTGTGGAATTAGAGGCATGGGCTTTGTGATAGCTTTTTCCTAAGCACAGAATCTATTTTTAAATCTCAGGTGGGAAGGCACACTTGGTGAGCGCCAAATAAACATCTCTGTAGCTGCCAGTGGAAGTGTTGAATGCTGGAGTGGCCCAGGGCCAATAAGTGGCCCATCCACACCCCCCGGGGGGTGACACCTCACCAGCAGTCATGGTGCTGGCATGGCAGGAGCTAATTCCTCATCAGGAAGTTAAAATCTCAGCTAATCAATGTTGGTGCCAACAAGGGACCAGAGATTTTATCATAATGGCCCAGTCATCAAAACTCAGGAGTCTCTAAACTGCGAATTGTCAAGACCTATGGTTTGAAAACTGAAGTTGAGCTATTTATACACCCAGGAAACTTAAATGTAATGTGACAGCTGTCAAATATGTCTAAGATGGCAGTTACCAAAGTAGTGCTAGTCTGTCACCTCCTAATTACTGCAGGTCTTTTCTCAAAAATCAGCCTCGTCAGGCTCTAGCTATGCCAGTTGCCGGTGAAGCGAGCCCATGCAGCAGCCAGCGGGTGTTACCTGGCACACTCAGATCCCATTATTTCAGTCAATTGGCAGTCATTTATTGAGCACCTACCATGGGCCTGGCATGGAGGAACACAGACAGGGATAAACACAGATGTTGTCCTCAAGGCACTTGCTGTCTCATGTGAGATGGACTCTAACTTTTCTAAGGTATGAAGAGTGACATCATAACCCAGGAGGTAACTCCCATCTGTCTCCTGCGGCCCAGGGGCTCATGCACAACAGCCAACAAGCTCTGAAGAAACCCGCGGGCAGGAAGCGCTGTCGGCTCTAGTCCCTGAGCCCAAATGCAGGGTGCCTAGCATGCCTCCCTTGCTTTCATCCAGGAAGAGGTGATGCAAAGATTAAAGCAAACATTTAATGCAGCACCTAGGCAATAAGCAATGGGGGAGGAGGCAGAGATGAAATACACGTGGTCTGTGACCTCAAGGAAGTCACAGCTTGGTGATAGAGGGAAGGCAAGTGTTTGGTTGTCCTAATATAAAAACAATAATGATGATGATATTAACAGTAATGACAGCCACCCCTTGGTGAGTGCTCAGCATGGTGGGCACAAGGCCAGTGCTGAGCTCTCTGCAGACACACACGCCACACCATTCTGCACTGTCAGCACGCTCATCAGCAGTGTACCTTTGAGAAATCTGGGGCTGTGGGAGCTACGCTACTGTGCCTAGGCTCACAGACTGCAAGGAGCCTTCCTGAGGTCCACGTCCAGGCCTGTCTTCTCCGTGGCCTGAGCGCTCAGCCTCTGTTGTGCGTCCGAGGACAAGGCTGAGGAGATTCTCCGGGCATCGGGGTGGGGAGAGGACACTTTGGGGCTGGATTGGGGTCCCCCAGGAACAGACCCCGAGACCAGGTTTGAGCATAGGTGATCTCAGGACGACCTGGTGAGGAGCAGTGATGGGAGACAGAGAAAAGAAGGGAAGGACACCCAGTAAGGGTGCCGAACGGGGATGTGCCCTGTGGGCAGCTGGGTGCCCGTTCCGCTGGGGCACTCGGTGAGAATATGCAGACCTTGCCTCAGAGTCCCCCTGCCTGAGTGATTAGGGAGCTGGAGATATTTGTCATCGTGCCACCACGTGTCGTGAGTTGAGGGCTGCTTTTAGGGGATATTAACTCTTAGGCACCTGGCTGCCAGTGGACGTCACAGGGTTCTCGGTGGACAGCTTCACACGTGTAGGCCGTCCCCGGCTGCGGCCCCAGGAGGCCCAGGGCTGAAGGGGGCAGTGCCAGTCCTCCACCCCCGCTCCACAGGGAGGCAGCACATTGTGCTTGAGCTTGGGGATGCACACCGCCAACTGCTCTTCAGGACTCGAGGGCTAAGCACAGCAGAGAGGAACTTCTTACCCCAGAATGGGCCTGGGTACTTTGCAAATCTTCCCTCGATGACCGGATTGATATCCCAGCAATTCAGAGACCAGCAATCTGGAAATTTGTTAGTGAACTGGTATAAAAGCCTTTGTAGGCAAGTTTAACAAGTCATGCTGGATTTCAGGGTAGTGGACCTGGATTTGAGTATCAGCTTTGGTAACATCAACCAGGCCAGCCCTTCCGGGCTCTTGCTGACGGCTAGCCTACAGCACCCCCTCTTACCCAGTGCCAATCTGGGACACTCTCTGGGGAACGCTGGGCAAAGGACCCATTGTGTGAGCTCCCCACAGCTCATGGATAGAGCTGCTGCCAGGAGGCTCCGCGAGCTGGGTCCCAGGTGTTCAGGAATGGACACAGAGCAGGGGAAAGGAGTATGGACCCGGGAGCTGGGGCTGGGAGAGGGTCCTGCTCTGCTCCTTACTGGCTGTATGGCTCTAAGCACATCCCTTAGTCATTTGGGGCCTCAGTTCCCTCATTTGTAGGATGGAGATAAAAATTCTCAGTTCTTCTTAGTGTTGTTGTGAGGTGTAAGTCAGCTAGTGTGTGAACAATGCTTTGTACGGTGTGCAGTGCACAGCAAGGACCAGTGTATGGCAGCTTCCCGCTGCCAACCCTCTGCCAGGCCAGGGAGCCGGCTCGGCGGCGGCGGAGGGAGCGCTCTGGCACTGCGTGACGGCCTGGAAGACGTCCTTAGGTCGCGGGAGCAGATGCTCTTTGCCTGTCTCCATCTGTAACTGCCAGGCTTTGTTCTCTTCCACCATTAGACAAATGGGGTTCAAAAGAAACATTGTCTCACACTAATGAATAGAGTAATAGCCTCCCTCCCCAGATGCAGGAGACTTCATCAGCCTCTTGAAATGTTGATGACAGCTCTGGGAGGAGTTTAGGGAGCACTCCCAAACGAGCCCGCATCCCTGCCATGTCTGAGCCCCGCCCTCGGGGGAAAGGTGGGAGCCGGTGACCATGGCACAGTGGCCTGGCTTGGGGTCAGTCAGGGGACACGTGTGGTGGGTACCCATGGGCTGGACCCTAAGCAACCATGCGGGAAAAGATGAAAAACCTGGCTTGAGGGGGGCCAAGGGCTGAAGGGGCCAGAGAAAGGAAAGGTCAGCCTTTCAAGCTTAGACTCAAGCTGGTGACTCAAACGTGCACTCATGCAGGCCTCAGGCCGGGCCAGAGGATGCCAGGCAAGCCCAGCTCTGAGGGCAGGAGGCTGGTGGACACCGTACCCTTGCCTTCCATTTTGAGAAGGCCTGCTTGCCAACTGCAGTGCCCTTGGGTGGGTCTCACCAGGCTTGGTGTCCGCCTCTGGGCTTAAGCAACCTCAGTTCCATTTCCCATTCTGGTTTGGGGTGCAGACCCCTTAAGTCAGTGTGTTGTGTGTGAAGGGCTCCTCTTTCATCTTCCCAGGGAAACCCACCCAGTGGTCTGCTCCCTTTATCCCTGAATGCACATTCCAGCTGTCTGCTGCCGGGGGGCAGACCCATTGGCTGGCCGGCGACCCCAACTGCCATCGGGTAGGCAGCCCTGCCCCGTCAGCATCAGGTGAGATCTGACAATTTCTCACTTTGCCTGCAGAAGATCAGTAGCCTGTGGGAAAGCAAAACTTACTTAGAAGAAAGATGTTTCCAAAAAGTAGAGAATACCAGAGCCTTTCAACAAACAAAACCAGCTTTCATATTTATTCTCCTGCTTTCATAGTAGATTATCCTGAAATGAACTATTTTTTAAAATTATCTACCAGATCACGTTGCAGAAGGCATTAGGTTTTATTTTTGTCTCCAGAATTCACATTTGAATTTTACAGAGTTAAAAGAGAAACGCTGAGACCAAGGTATCTAGCAGTTCAAGTGAAAATGGTGAGATTTTTTTAAATGGGGGACATTCACCAGGCCAGGTCCCTCATCCCTTCTTTGGCTAATTTGCAGGAACTGACCTTCTCAGAAGGATTGGAAGTCTGAGCTAAGCCAACCACTAGTTTCCAAATTGATTTTCAAACTGAAATTGGAACAGTTCTCAAATGCTCCCGGGATTTGGGGCTATTAATACTGAAGAACAATGAGAACGAAAAAGTGAGTGTAGAAGAGGTGATTTATGACCAAAAGGAAGTTGCAAGCTTGGAAACTTGTATGCAACCCAATCACAGGCCCCTCTGGAGGCGTTCCAGGGAAGAGATGGAGAATGTAAAGAGAGAGCATTTCCGAGGGATATTAAAGCTTATAAAAAGAGGTAATGTGGGCTTTGGGCCTGAAATGAGCGGGTGAGGCGCTGACCATGCTGAACTCCTCATAACACAGCAGGGTTTTGTGCAGCTGTCATCAGCGCCTGAGACACCCCACAAGCCTTTCCTTGTATTTATTTCTTACCATTAGTCCATCACCAGGCAGGCTCGATGGCAGGAAGAGTCTCCCCAGCAGAGTGTGGGGCTGTGACCGCTGTTGCTCAAACCTGTGGTCTCATCTCAGGTGTCAGGCTCGCAGGGATCCAGGCCGTGGCTCCAGCCGCTACCTGGTAAAGGCCAGCGACAGCCTGGTCAGAGCCGAGGTACACAGGATGGTGAAGCTGGGTAGCAGAGCCTGGTCAGGTGTTTTGGGGATGGACACCTAATCTCACCCTTTATTTTCAAAATGTCTTGCAAAAGTTATTTATTATTATTTATAGCTTTAATGAGGTAGAATTCATATACAATAAATTATACAATTTAGAGTGTGCAACTTGCACACTCTTTATATACATGTACATGCACGTGTATAGACATGAGCATATACATATGTGCCTCTACTTGAAGAGCTAAAGAGAATCAGCAAATGCATATGTTGCTGTGGCTGTTGGCAGGAACTTCTTGTGGGTTGTATGCCAATCCCATTCCTCTGGAGTAACAAAAACAGGACGAGGAAAGGCCACTGAGACGGGCTTCCAGCTATCAAGTCTTGAGAGACAAGAGGTGAGACCAATTGCAAGGAAACCCAAGTTCCCCAAATGGCCAGGTAAATGTCTCTTTTCTAAAAGTGAACGGCAAGTAATAATCCAATCTAAGGGGTCAAAACAAAACCTTACCCGGGTGCAGTCTTTTATAGTTTTAAAAATGTTATACTACCAGGATTTCCTTGGAGAGGTGCAGAAAATCCAGATAGTTATAATTATTACTAATCATCATGTGCCAGTTCTGCTCCTTAGAAGTCATTCTGTGGCTGAGTGGGAGAGTAGAAGGGTTCTGTACAACTGAGGGGCTGTGGCTGTTTCCAAGGGCTGAAGTCCCTCTGGTGAAGTCTCTGACGGGTTGACCAGAGGACTTCCTAGTGTTACCACTGCTTCCACCGACAGCATTAATCTCCTCCAGATAATGCACCAACAGAATGAAAAATGGAGAAAATATTGCGTGTTTGTCAGTACTGGCCAAGGAATAGGGTGGGGGGAGGGAGGGCAGGGGTGCAGAAAGGTCTGGGAATCAGGAGAGATCTAGTATATGGAGAAGAGTCAAGCCTCATAAAGGCATTTTACGGTGTGGCTAGGCCCCGAATTGTTGGTATCATATGTTCACTGGTCCCCTAGGATCTGCAAGAGCCGGGAAGTGCCTCCCCTCCCAGCCTCCCCTTTGGCCAACTGGCATTCTTGCTGATTTAGCAATTCTTGGGAAATTCACCTCTGGTCTTACTTAGAACGTTTCAGTTCTATATTCATAAATGGGAGGAGGAAGAAATTCCTAAAAGTAAGGACTTGGCTAGTTGTGGAGGCAGAAGTTCTATTTGGAGGGAGCATCTGGAAAAGCAACGCCCCCCACCCCCCGGGGAATTATGTGTTGAAGAGCTGGGTGGTCAACAGCACCAAGGCAGGGCGAGGCCAGGCATTCAGACGTCTTCCCAGAACTGGGCCTGGAGGGAAGATCAGCCCCATCTTCATCCAACTGCTTCTGACCAGAGGGCATATTACCCTGCACTTCCCGGTCCTCTGGAATGAGAATCCGGGCTAGTGCCAAAGGCCAGGCATCCTCAGCAATACCTGCACTTTGTAAACAACCCCATGGAGCATGCAATTAGAGGTGCCCTATAAGAATCATCATTTATTTCTTTTTTACAGCCCCACTTGGATCCAGGATGTTTCTGTGGGTTTTGAAATGGAAAAGAACTAACATCCTCTCTGCAGTCTTCTCAGCAGGCTAGCAGATAACCTTGAACCTTCTGGTTTCTGTGCCATGACCTAGGATGTCAGCCTGGCAGAGACTTCATGCTGAATACTGGCTATTATCCAAGGGCCAGAAGAGACCTATCAGATTTTCTTAAATATCCCCTGCCTTCACTTTTAAAAGGCATTGCTACTTTATTTATTTTGTCAGCAGGTAAGGTATGCTCATGAAACGAATTTCAAAAAGGGTAACCATAGAAACATTTGTTTCAAAATGTTATTTTATTTGTATCAAGTACCAATGTTTCTACTTTATTTAGCTTTCCACACATTAAATTAGCAATTTGGAAAAGCTAAAAAAAAAAAAGCCTTCTTATTGTCCTGGACCTCCAGCCCAAGTTCTCCTCCCCAGTTGACCAATATTTCAGATTCTTGTATGTCCTTCTAGAGTTATTTTTTGCACAATTAAGCAAGTATGTAAATGGGTAATCATTTCATACCCCTGCCCACTGTCTTTTTCCCCCAGGAGTGGTGGCAGTGGTGGGGTGGTTCTCTGGAAACAGATTCTGAGATGGAGATTTGCAGGGCAGGACGCTTACTGGGGAGCACACTCCAACCAACATCAGTGAAGAAGAGAAAGAAGCTGGCCTACCCAGAGGGTCACAACAGAGACCTCAGCCAGCTCCGTGGGAGCTCCGGGGCCTCCCCATTTGGGGTGAGGGGAGCAGGTCTTTGATCAGTCATTGTATATGGGCGTCATCTGTGGTGGGGCTGCTCTCTTCAGTTCTGGGAAACCCCTGGAGAGAGTTTAAGGTCCCTCTAACACTCTCAGCCATGGGAGAATCTGGGTGGGCCTAGCCCAGCACCCACTTTAGCAGCATAGAGTACATACTGTACTGTATGTAGTCTTTTACTTTACAGTAGATCTTGATGATTGTTTCACATCAGTACATAAATAGCTTCTGTATTCCATTTTTAATGGCTGCAAAGTATTCTGGGAGGGTATAGCATAATTTGTGAAGTTCTCCACTGATGGATGTTTAGTTTGTTAGCAGTCTTTTGCATTTATATCCAGTTCTGGGATGTAGATTTGTCCCTTCTCACACATGCAAATTTATCTTATAATCAAATTGCAGGGCCCCAGAATATGTGTACTTTTAACTTTGGAAGATCTTATCTAGAGCCATCTGTTTGTTATCATCAGACACCAGAGCAGGGTCCTCAGTCCTGTCTTCATGTATTAAAAGACTTAACACCAAGACTTAGGACTATGCAAGCAAGCAGTATACTTGATTCGAGAAGTGAGGAAACAAACACCTTGACAGACAAAGGTGGGCTGCTCACGAGAGAGTCAGCCCTGAGAAGAATCAGGGTGACTCCTGTTACAGGGAGCAAATATGTTCATTCATGAGTTATTAGGTCACCTAATGAGTAGGGAGGGCTTCAAGTAGCACATGCACAGTTGGATTTCATACATACATGTATGTTGCAACATTATCTCATGTAGCATTAGCATGTAAAATCCCTGCCCAGGGGTGGGGAATTTAGTATTATATCAGACACCAAATTTTCCTTATGCACATGTCCCAAGTTGTGTCTTGGTCTATTGATTATCTGACCAAGGGGTCTCTAAACCTAAGACAGGGTGGCTATAAAACTTGGTAAAACAATAGGTTGACATGAAAAACAAGACATCCTGGAGCCTCACGGAGCCGGTGGCCCGAGTTGCAAGGCACTCTGTCAGGACTTGGGTGTGAGGGGTTGGACTGGTCTCTCCGTTGTGTTCTCTACCTGCCTCACATTGAGGCTCTATCAGTTTATACTCCCACCAATAAAGTAGGAGCTTGTCTGCTTCCCCTGCTCTTGCCAGTACTGTTATTAAACTTTTACTTCTCTCCATTCTGAAAGCTTAAAAATGGTATCTCATGGTAGTTTCAGTTTGCATCTCTCTTCTTGAATGAGACCAAGTATCTTTCTGTTGTTTAAAAGTAATTGGCATTACGTTGGAATGCAGAAGGAGATATCTAGGCTGGCCTGTGCATACAGTAAAACAACAAATTTGACTGGTTCTCTATTGTCGGAACTCAACCAAGAATTAGGAGAAGTGCAAGTTGCAGTGCTTCAAAATCGCGCTACTATAGACTATCTATTGTTAAAAGAACATATGGGATGTGAACAGTTTCCCAGGAATGTGTCGTTTTAATTTGTCTGATTTTTCTCAAACTATTCAAATTCAGTTAGACAATATCCATCATATCATTGATAAGTTTTCACAAATGCCTAGGGTGCCTAACTGGTTTTCTTGGTTTCACTGGATATGGCCGGTAATTGTAGGTCTCCTTTTGTTATGTATCTGTATTCCTATTCTGTTAATGTGTATACACAATTTAATTAGTAGTTTGTTAAAACCTAT